TCACGCCTTCGCCTTCGCTGGGCAAGAGAGAGAGAGAGAACAAAAAAACAATGGATTGAGAGAGAACTCGAGACAGATCGGACTTCTGTCCTGGCCCCCTTTCCTTTCTCCCGCTCTGCCTCTCTCCCTCCCTCCCCCCTCCCAACAACGTGACGCAACTCCTTGCGACACACGCCCGAGCTGTCGCGCGGCCGGGCCGCCCGCTGGGGCACAGGCACGGCAGCGAGATGCGGGCACGAGTGCGGAGGCAGCCGCCTGCTGCTGCTGGAGGGAGGGGCACCGGAGTAAGCATTGCATCCTTCAGCTGCCCGCGCGGAGTTCTTGGATCGACGCTGGGCGGCCCCGCCGCTTGGCGCGCGGGGCGCGCCGAAGGCGACGCCAGAGGCACCGCCCGGGGGGGCCCCCGGCACCGTCCATGAACGTGGGGGCTACTTATGTGAGTGCAGACGGATGTTGTTCAATATCGGGTGTTGTCTTCAACGCGGAAGCACGGCGGGCGGGCGACGGGGGGCGGGCGGTCGGGTGGGCGGGTGGATCGGGAATTGAACAAGACTCCAAAGGAGTCTCTCTTGCAGACGTATGCTGTTGAGTACTGGGTGTTGCGTTCGAGACGGGAGCTGTTGAGTACTGGGTGTTGTGTTAGAGACGGACGCTGTTGAAAACTGGGTGTTGTGTTGAACGCGGAAGCACGGCCAAAGTGCATCAGGGGGCGGGCGGGTGGCGGGCATGCAAGCGGCGGGCGGATCGGGATTCGACCAGATATCCAAAGGCTGTAGAATACTGGGTTTTGTGTTGGAGACGTAATCTGTTGAGTATTGGGTGTTGTGTTGGAAACGGGCACTGTTGAGTACTGGGTGTTGTGTCGAACGCGGAAGCATGGCGAACGGGCGGCGGATCGGGATTTGAACAGAACTCCTAAGGAGTCTCTTTTGCAACGGCATGCTGTTGAGAACTGGGTGTTGTGTTGGAGACGGGATCTGTCGAGCAGTGGCTGTTGGAGTGGAGACGGACGCTGTTGAGTACTGGGTGTTGTGTTGAACGCGGGAGCACGGCGGACGGGCGGCGGTCGGGCGGCCGGGCGGGCGGATCGGGAGCGTAATAGCACTCCTGAGGAATCATTCTTGCAGCAAGATGCTGTTCAGGTGTTGCGTTGGAGACGGAGGCTGTTGAATACCTGGAATTATGTTGGAGAAGGACGCTGCTGACTACTGGGTGTTGTGTTGAACGTGGAAGCACGGCGAAGGGATGACGGGGGGCGGGCGGGCGGCGGGCGGGCGGGCGGGCGGCGGGCGGATCGGCATTTGAACAGAACTCCTAAGGACTCCCTCTTGCAGCGGGGTGCTGTTGAGCAGTAGGTGTTGGAGACGGGAGCTGTCGAGTACTGGTAGTAGCATTGGAGACGGACGGAATTGAGTACTGTGTGTTGCGTTGAACGCGGAAGCACGGTGGGTGGGTGGGCGGGCGGCGGGCGGCGGACGGGCGGCGGTCGGTCTGGCGGGCGGATTGGGATTGTAATAACAATCCTGGAGTTGTTTCTTGCAGCGGAGTGCTGTTGAATACGGATTAGTGTGTTGCAGACGGAGGCTGTTGAGTACTGGGCGTTGTTCTGAACACGGGAACACGGCGGGCGGGCGGCGGGCGGCGGGCCTCAAGAGAACCTCCGATCGTGTCTGGATGGGCAGCTGGAGAAACGCGAAGCGTCAACGATTCACTCTCGCCCATTTGTGTCTGGACAAGCCAATGGAGGAACCCAGGAGGTCCCTAAAGGCTTCTAGTGGGCCCCGAATGAGATAAGGTGTTACTGTGGCCCGTTGGTTGCTCGTGCGGCCCAATGGGTGTTAGAGAGTATTAATCAATGGGTTTGGTGAAAGAGGGGGCTCTTCAAAAAGCCTCCTCCCCCCCATTCACCGAAGAGCCTCTCGGAAAAGCCTCTGGGTCTCTCCAGAGAGCCTCTTGGGCTCTCAACAATTCATCGTTCTCCTCGGCGATCCTCCCCACCCCTCGAAACTCCATGTCGCTTTTCGGTGCAACCATGTCTCCATTTTGAGCCTACGTGTTGGGCCACGTTCCGTGTGGCGTGTTGCGTATCGGGGCAGCTAAGCCCAGGAGTCCACGAAAACGTCCCCCAGAGGTCTCCAAGGAGCCTTCCAGAAACCTCCAAGGAACCCTCCAGAGCCTCCCATTCCTCTGCGCTCCATCGCACTCCCCAACACTACTCCGCACTTCACTCCATTCCTCCCCCATCTCCGCACTCCTCCCCGCTCCTCTGTACCTTTCCGCACTTTCACCGTGCTTCTCGGCATCCCTCCCCACTCCTCGGAACTCCTTCCATCTTGCTTTTCGTCGGACCTCCCCACTCCTCTGGAGTCCCCCCCACTCAATCGCAGTACTCCCTCCGCTCCCCCATTCCATGGCACTCCTCCTGCCTCTTCCTCATTCCTCCCTCGCTCTCCCTCCTCCCTCCGCCCTCCTCTCTCCTGGCTCTGCCCCTCCCCATTCC